AAAGTTTACAGAAGAGTGGTCTGAATTATTCCTTTCTTCTCCTGCCAAGGTGTGATGAGGAATTTTGTCTTTCGTTACCTCTCATTTTACAAGAAAAGTCTTAGTAGAAATTCTTAGTTATCTCAAGCAACAAGGGAACAGGAAAACATTCTTCAGCTCTGTCACTTTGCTTTTTATCTCCTGTTTACAAAAAGGGACATAATGTTACACACATGCATGCACAAAGAGAGAGAAAGAGAAAAAAACATCACAATCCCTGTTGAAGGCTGTTTCCATCTATAGCAGTATCTGGTCTGAAACAACCATAGGACTTACATAATTCAAGAACAAACAGTTCATTATCAGAAAGACGGCTTCCTTTGCCAAAGGCACTTTTGTGTAAAAGAGGGAAGGCAGGAGATGTTGATCACAGCATGACATTAAGCCCAGAAGATACAAATCTCCAGGCATGAGGCTGCCTGAATACCTAGTACTGCATCTCAATCCAATTTACCTTTCAGAGCAGAGATGAAGACAAAAACGAGGGTGAAGCATAAGAATGGTTGGACTGGAGGCTGAAACATATGAAGAATGGTTGCAGAAACTGGGTATGTCTAGTCTAATGAAAAGAAGGGCTAGGGGAGACATGATAGCAGTGTCCCAATATCTCAGGGGCTGCCAGAGGGAGTCGAACTATTCTCCAAAGCACCTGAGGGCAGGACAAGAAGCAATGGATGGAAACTAACGAAGGGGAGAAGCAATCTAGAACGAAGGAGAACTTTCCTGACAATAATTAATCAGTGGAACAACTTGCCTCCAGAAGTTGTGAATTCTCCAACACTGGAAGTTTCTAAAAAGATGTTGGGTAACCATTTGAAATGGTGAAGGGTTTCCTGCCTAGGCAGAGGGTTGGACTAGAAGACCTCCAAGGTCCCTTCCAACTCTGTTATTCTATTCTATCCTAAACGTTATTTCTTGCAGAAAGGCTGGAGTGAATATTTTGAAATTGGGAAAGAAGAAACAGATTGCCGGTTCAGGGAGATCATCTAATGTAAGTTACAGAAGAAAAGGCCCCTTTCAGTGCACTTGAGGGACTCCGCCTCAAAAGTCTCTGATAACATACTGTAGTTCTATGGCTTATCTAGTCCAACTGTTTATGGTGATTTATGATGTTGGAAGGAGCTCTCTAAGATATCTGAAAGTGACATTTCAAAGGTGAGATACTTTATTATAATCCAGTGGTCCCCAACCTTTTTTGTACCACGGACCGGTACAATCCACGGACCAATCCACGGACCGGTACCAGCATCAGCATGCACGACCAAGGCAAGGCGAGCCGAGCGACCGGCCAACCAGCCATCCCCCGCTTCTCCCCGCCACCTTCAACTCCTCTTTTGTACCTTCTCGTGGTCGATGGGCTTTTCGGGCTCTTTCTTAATTTCCTCCTGAGTAACGCGAGACTCCACCGCCATCGGGATGGCTCTTCGTTCGAAGCCGCCGCCCCCCTTCGACGAAACTAAGGCGCAAGGATTCCTTCAGCACCCAAACGCTGCTTTCCAACCGACGACTGACAAGCTCACCCGGAAGCACTTTCTCAAGCGCCGTCGAAACAAGATGGCGGCGCCCAAGCAAAATAGGTGGCCCGGTACAAAATGATCCACAGACCGGTACCGGTCCGGGGCCCGGTGGTTGGGGACCACTGTTATAATCCATCTAGAGTCGCCTCTTAAGGCAAGATGGCCAGCATATAGGTTTAATAAATAAATAAAAATACTGGGAACTAAAATGGAATCTTTCATGGGCAAGCAGTGGGGTCTATCACTGAGTTACATTCCTTCCCTAATTACAAGTAGTCCTCGGCTTACAACTATTTGTTTAGTGACCGTATGAAGTTACAATGGCACTGAAAAAAGTGACTTACAACCGTTTCTCATACTTATGACCGCTGCAGCATCCCCACGGTCATGTGATCAAAATTGGGATGCTTGGCAAATAGTTCACATTTATGACGATTGCAGTGTCCTGGTGTCTCCTTTTGCAACCTTCTGGCAAGCAAACTCAAGGGGAACCCAGATTCATTTAATAACCTTGTTACTATGTGAGTCACTTAACAACTGCAGCAGGAAAGGTCAGAGAGTGGGGCAAAACTCACCTAACATATGTTTCACTTAACAACAGAAATTTGGGCTCAATTGTGGTCGTAAGTTGAGGACTAATTCAGACCCTCACAGATGTTTTTCTGTTGTCCGTACATGAATCCTTTTTCTTCTTGAAGAATGGTGCAATGACCACAATTACCCAGAAGTGAGAATGATGAGAGTCATGTTATTTCAAAGTTGCAAGAGCCTTTTGGGCATTTGGCCCTCTGCCTCAGTTTTGTTACATGTCTGATCCAAGAAAGGAATCTCACCTCTTTTTTTTTTTTTCATCAAGAAGATATGGATGGCCGAATAACATTTTTCCATTGTTGGAAAATGAATACAGTGTACAATCTATCTCTAACATGGCACCCTCTCATGCAGATCCAAGGCCTTTGGAGGTTACCAGATTCTGATAGGCAACATTTCATCATCTGCTTTTGCTTTTGCTTTTGCTACAAACTGTGGCTTTGTTATGCCATCATTGCACATTACTGCCCTGATTTGATTTACATCATAAATGGCACTCAGTTCTGCTTTTCTTCACCTTTCTATTGACTTGAGCCTGGGAATTACATATTCATTTTAGTATAATGAATCTTGTCTCCTCCATATTACCCTTGCAAACTTCTCCCGTTCCTTGTCCCAAACTCATGGTTTTTAAAATGTCAGGTATTGCAACATCTTGAAAACAACCGTCTGCCTGAAGAAGCAAATAAAACACATTCCTTAGACAAACATTTCTACATCTTGAATTGGTAACACACAGGACAGCCTCCCTGCTTCCTGAGTTTTATTAATGGGTTTGTTTTTACTAGGCAAAATTCTGATTTTAATCATGCTAAAACTTGAGAGTCCAATGCTATTCCCAGGTATTGGCAGCACAAGAAGATTTGATGTTTTCTTCAGTCATTGTGCTGTAATTCTCCAGGGACTGTATTAGTCTCAGCTACCCACCCCTATAGTTTGTGGACTCCCAAATCATGTTGAGCTTTCCAAGTTACAGAAATTGTCTGCATCATTTCAAAGCATAAGTAGACAAATCTTTCTTGAAAAAAAAAGGAGTGAGATAAGCAAGCAACCTCCCTTGTGGCTTTCCACACCATTTGCCATTTCCTTGGACAAAAATGGTAATAAAACCCGCTCATACTTGGGTGAAAAGAGTCACAAGACCCCCTTATTCCTCCTGTGGTGCTTAATTGTAGCACTGAACTTTTCACCCCAATTATAGTGATGTAATCCATGGCCGGTTGGCTTTGCTTAGGTCTTTTTTCCATAGCCATCAGAGACCTGTCACTGTACCAAAGAAGGAGGGAGCCACTGTAGTGGTGTGAATTCAGTCATTTCCTCCTTTTACAGAAGAAGAAAAAAAGATGAATGTTTTCTGTTTTTCAGTGCTTAATGTGCCCTTCTCCCTTTCAGCTTCCTATTGGACTTTGGGGGTGTTGATAAAAGTAGAAGTCCAGCAATCAGAAAGGGAGGGGATCAAATGCTGCTTTAGCTCTGTATAGGTTTTCAAAATAAACATTCCTTGAATATTCTCCTCCTCTCTCTCCCCCACCCCACTCCTACAAGTTGCGTCTCCTCTATTGAATGCCTCCCAGTCATCCCATGGCCATGTCAACCAGATGTCTATGGCCATCTGAAGTACATTTTTCCAGCATCGTTCCTTCAGGTGACAGACAATTCAAGCTTTTAAATTAAGTCCAGGAAGACTCAGATCCATGTCCACTTTCAGCCATAGATTGACTGTAGTTGCTATCTTGCAGCGTTTGGTCCACAGTTATGGGAGACTGATGAAAAAGGAGGACAGGCAGTGAAGAGGAAATGGAAATGTTTTGGAGGCTGTGAATTTGATCACAGGAATTCCAGATGAACTCTTGAAAAAGGAATATATTTTGGGATCGGGCCCAAACATTTGTTTTTACTGGCACTCCTTCTGCCTCTTGTTTGTTCAATTTTATGTATAAACTCTCAGAGGAAAGATGGGGCTTAAATCTTATCACAAAAATCTAACATATCAGATGACAACATAAACAGATGAGCATACCAACCATAGGTCACGCTGGTCAAGGATTCTAGTTGTTGTCATTCCAACTTATGAAGGAAGCTAGTGTGGCTTTTTGATGAGCATACAAACATTTGTGTATAATGTATAATGTGTATAATGATCCTGAGCTAGTCAGGATCTGCTTCCAAGCTGAAGAAATCATTTACAGGTAGACATGGCTCTGAGCAGTGACTGGGGAAGGGGAGAAATTCGTTTAGCATACATTTGAAGGAAAGCAATTCCAAATTTGTATTTTTTTGAACCAATGTGCAAACCAAAGAATTTTCATTCAATTTAGGATTACTATCATTCATTTCTGACTATTTACATGAGAAAGCTTAGGCATGGAAGAGATTGGTTTACTTTGATTACTAAAATATTAACAAAAATTAGAAAGTGAGAGAAACTGATATTGATTGCTTCTCCAAAATTCTAGTAGTAATACATTGTCACTGCACGCCTACACATCTGTACTAATCCTAATCACAGGGGTTCAAATGGTATTTACTTAATTAGTCTTCTGGGCCTAAATCAGGGGTGTCCAACCTTGGCAACTTTAAGACTTGTGGACTTCAACTCCCAGAATTCCTGAGCTAACATGGCTGGCTGAGGAATTCTGGGAGTTGAAGCCCACAATTCTTAAAGTTGCCAAGGTTGGACACCCCTGGCCTAAATAATTCTAAATCAGAATGTAAGATTTTCAATATAAATGAGTGACTTTCTTCAGAGATCGCAATCTAACATTTGACATCTTTGAGTTTGATGTATGCCTGATTTCTGAGAATTTTTTTCAGGTATTGTGATGCATTGTCTGATGTCTCTTCCTCCACCAGCATCTATGTATTCAGAGATACCATCAGAGAGGCCTGATATTGGGAATATCATGACTCATCCTGATTATCTTGATGGAAACCCGGATCTTATCAAACCTAAAAAGTTGCTCAATCCTGTCAGAGCCTCAAAGAGCCACCAAGAACTTCACCGGGAACTACTTATGAATCACAGAAGGTGAGCAAGGGTTGAAGTCATAGGCTTCCTCAGGAGGGGTGGAGTGAGTATTGTATTATGTGTGCTGTGACATCTGTGGTTTTGTCTATGACATTCTAGAAAAATAATGTTGAAGAAGTGGGATAGAATATTGACACCTTGATCAATACTTCGGCATTGGAGATAACTCCTGAGTATATAGCAGGGGAGTCAAAAGAAATTAATCCAACTGCCAGAAAATTTCTCCTAACTTCTAAATTGTATCTCTCTTTGACAAGCTTCCATCCATTACTTCTTGTCCTGCCCTCTGGTGCTTTGGAGAATAAAATAATCTCCTGTTCTTTGTGACAGCCCCTTAAGTACTGGAATACAACTATCATGTTGTCGTCCCCCCCCCCCCCATCCTTCTCTTTGATAGGCCAGAAAAACTTAGGTCCCTCAACTGTTCATCATATGATTTAGCCTCCAGGCTCTTTTGTGAACCTCAAAAATTGGATTGAGAAAAGCATAATTCAGCTAATCATGGAAAGGCAGCATTTGTTACAATATAAGATACATAGGCCAACAATTGTGTGAACCATATATCTGTGATGATGTTGTCTAGCTCCACATAAAACTTTGATAAAGCTTTTTTAAAAATTAAAAATCATACATATGTTGTTAATTCTGTTGTTCCTGGAAAAAATGCTCTCTCATGATTCAGATAACATTTTGTCCTCCTTTGGTTCCCTGAAACATCAAAGAATACCAAAGATGAGTTGAGATTTCCCAAAACCTCATAGAAATGTACATATTGTATATCTGTAGATGAAAGGCAAGTGACGGACGCATCAAGAGCTATCTAGATGAAAAGAGGGAGACGTTCGGGCCAATATCCTGTTAGATTCTCAGCCATATCCGCTAGCATTATTTGTTTTATGAAACACAACTTTCCTTTGCAAAAACTAGACAAGTAGGAAATCGAGTGAGTCATCCAGACCTAATAAAAAAGGCCTGATGTGATGGGAGTTTGATTAAAAAATAAAATCTCAAAATGCATTCTGACATTAAAAGGAGGGCTGCTGATCTATATCTTCTTAATAACAGTTGTAACTTTAACAACAACTACTACTGTGTTTCTCCAACAATACGCCCCCCCATAGGAAGACCCAGCATGTTTTCTAGGCATAAAATGAAATTAAGCCCCTCCCCCCAAATTTAGGCCTAGTTTAAAACATGCAAAATTGGAGGGGGGGAGGCGGGGGGGAACTTGCCATTAGGAATGCCCAGCAGGCAGCTACGCCTCACCATCAGCCGCTCCTAACACCATGGTGGAGCACAGAGGGCTCCTTTACCCGGGTCAGCAGGCGGGCGGCGTCAGCGTGGATGTCCGGCAGCATTTCAGCTGCTTCTCAGGTCTCCATAGCTTCCACGGTTCCCACCGGTGCTGGTGCCTCTCTCGCCAGCGCCGTCTCCAACAACAGCGTCTGAGTCTCTCCTGCTTTCCCCCGTCCCCATAACAACAGGAAAAAAAACATTTTGAGGTACCTGCATTTTGGTTTAATCCCGAGTGGCTGGGTGGGCGTAAGAAGAGCCGAGAGAGCATCTCTGCTGCTGCTACGCTTGGTGCTCCAGCCTCGGGCTCTGCAAGTTTGCAAAAGTCCCGGTGCGCAGCCCGTTCCTGCATTCCAAGCGCCCAGGCCGAGTGCAGCTGTCCCTCTCTCACCAGCGCCATCTCCAATAACAGCGGCAGTAGCGGCGGGAACCATGGAAGCGTTTCAGCTGCTTCTCGGGTGGAGGAGCCACCTCCGTAACTTCCACGGTTCCCACCGCTGCTGCCGCTGTTATTGGAGATGGTGCTGGTGAGAGAGGGACAGCTGCAGCTCGGCCTGGGCGCTTGGAATGCAGGAACGGGCTGCGCACCGGGACTTTTGCAAACTTGCAGAGCCCGAGGCTGGAGCACCAAGCGTAGCAGCAGCAGAGACGCTCGCTCGGCTCTTCTCACGCCCACCCACCCGCTCGGGATTAAACCAAAACGCAGCGCGTGGCGCTTCCAGGTACCTCAAAATGGTTTTTTTTCCTGTTGTTATGGGGACGGGGGGAAAGTGGGAGCGACTCAGACGCTGTTGTTGGAGACGGCGTTGGTGCGCGGGGGGGAGAAATTAATTCACCCCCCAAAAGACGTCCTAGCTGTTTTTTCGGGCTGAAAAAAAAAAAGGCACGGTCTTATTTTGTGAGAAACACGGTATTTTAATACTTACCACCTCTTCAAGAAGGCAGCTTACAGCATTTTGAAACACAAACATAAAAGTATACAAAATCTAAATACAACATTGAAAAATAATAGTGTATGGAGCATATCGTGCACTATAAATACAGGCTGAAGGAATTTGGGTTATTCATTCTTATGAAAAGAAGAGTTAGGGGAGCCATGATTGGAATATAGCTGCCCATCTCACAAAAAACTTGGGCAGTGTACAATATCTGAACCCCTCTATTGGTTTACTACTTACTTAACCTTACTGTAATAACCACAAAGTTGTTTGTTTGTTTTCCATATTTATAAGCCATCCATTTTTAACCAACCAAGGTGGTAAACACAATAAATCAAAACAAGCATCAGTAAAAGTCGACATCTTAAGCTTTTCAGTATTAAATCCTTACATTAGCTCAATTCTCAAAGCTATGCTACAGTATGGAAATTTGAGACATCTGTGTTAAAAGACAAACATCCTAAGGAAGGAAAGCTTGAGTGTGATATTGAGCCTTCAGTCTCCTCTTGAATTCAGCCAGGAAGGGATTAGACTGCACTTTGCAAGAAAGGAACTCCATAAAGCAGGTGCTCCATAAGTAAGTTCTTGTCCTAGTTGGTTCCCTCAGACTCCCTGCTGGTTACATAATATAACCCACAAGAAATTGTCCTTTGAGAATAATAGGTTGATGTTTTCAAAAAATTCAGCTAGTTTGTTACAGCTGCCTGTGCACTGAAGGGACATTGTAATTGGAAGATTAGGGATGGGGTTTCAGAAATCTGTCCTGCGCATGCCTAGATCGATCTAAAAGAGATTGGAAAAAGTGTTTGACAGTGGAATTATAAGTAGAATCCCTCCTTTGCTATCCATCAAATCATCAAGCACTGAGCTTGAGAACTTTGAAAGAGTTAAGCCAGCAATTGATAGTGAAAATGTCCCACATGGGACACAATCCAAAGAGATACCGTTTGTCTTAGTTGTCCAATTTGCAAGACTGACCCCTCGGAATATGGAAACCAGTTAAGAAAACCAACTTCTTCATCTGACCCCTGTGACTAAAGCCAGCAATGTGAAAGCCCATTAATTCACTGCACTTCTAGCAGATACACTAGTGAGAGATCTTCTCTGGTGGAAACCACACTAGAACTTCTAATGATAAATTCCAACATAAGATTGTTGGTTAAATTCCTCCCCCTGCTGGAAAAGGGGGGAAAACGATAAGGTGGTTTTTTTTTTTGTTTTTTTTTTGGTCTTGTTTCTTTTAATTAATTCTAAGAAACAATATATTTTTGAAATCTAAGTACTTTCTTCTCTGCCTGGGCTCGTCCTGCACTTTTTCAGGTTGTATTTATATATAAACATTCAGCAGGTTATGCATTTGCCTGAAATGGAAACAAGGAAACTCTATCCTGCCAAGTTTTCGCTCTTTCACATGACGATGTGCTCAGACCTTTAGCAATCTTATTTTAAACTATCAGTTTATTAGAAATGTTTAGGTTCTATACTTTACATGAACTTTTAGTCAAGCTTAAGGGGTAAAAACAAATAATGCAATTGAGTTTACAGCTCATGTAAATCAGTAAACCCAAACATTAACCAACATTAATAACAATTCAATCAGAGTTTGTTAAGCACAGGTTCTGTTTTTAGAAATAGCACATGTGTTTTTGGCACCTGCAGTACTGCTTCAATATAGTTTGCTGGGATCTATAGTTTAACACACTGTTTCTAAACCTTGACAACTTTAAGACCTGCGGATGTCAATTCCCAGAATTCCCCATCCATCTGGCTACACAAATTAAAGTTGCCATGGTTGAGAAACCCTGTTCTAATGTAACAGGATCATAAGAGAGTCCCAAGGATTAAGCATAACTGCCTCAACCACAAACCAGACAACATAACTAGGTCAACATGCAAGGAAAAATCTGAAGAAGTTCCTAATATAGAGTAGATGGAGAAGTCAAAAATTCAACTCTTCCAAGGTTAGTTCCTAAATGATGTTGGAATCCAGATAGGCATCAGACTGAAGGCTTCTTTGCTTCACACTATGTTGAAGACTAGTTTTTACTAGTTAGAAAGCTAGAAAGATGATGAGTTTTCATCATGGACAAAACACTTCCTATTTTCTGTTTTCTGACATTGGCCTTTCAAAACATTTTATGTGAAGCTTCAGTTGTCTTTGCTTTCTCTCCATGGAGTGTTACTGTGGGCCCCTGCTTGATATATTTTACCAAGTCAGTCTTGCCTTGTCTAGTGTTATGATCTGACTCAAAATGGTTTAAAGAAGGGCTTTTCAATATTCTCTTCTATAGAACTCTATGAGTTCTTTAATTCTGTTTTTATTGTTTTAGAAATACTTATTGTTAGGATTTTAATGCTGTAAACCACCCAGAGTAATTTTGATGTTGGCAGCAAATAAATATAATAAATAAAATTTCATGGGAACCTGATGGGGTTCTGTGAAAGACTTAAGGGAGAAAAATCACT